GCAAATACTCACTGTTTTAACACCTTCAATATCAAGTCCACGTGCAGCCACATCTGTAGCTACCAGAATATCAATCTGCTCATCCTTAAAGCGCCTGAGCAGAGATAGCAAACGCATTAGCAATGAACACAGCAATCCACTTCTGCCCCAAACCCTAACTTCTTTTTTTGCCCATCATTGCCAATTAAGCCTGCTAATACCTGAGTGCTTCCAGCCGCTGTGCCTGGGAGAGGTTCCCATGAAGCTCCCCAACCCGTAGACCCATCAGCCCAAGTAGGATGTGCATACGGTGAGCTTGCTTCTTGGTCTGGGTGAAAAGCATCACATGATCTGGGAAGGTTCGTGTCAGCAGAGCTGAAAGAAAGTCCTCTCAGGAGCCTGCTTCATAGTTGTCTATTCTAGTTGTTGATTCCAGCTTTTCTTTGTTCACCACTAACCTGATACAATGGCCTCACGGTCCCCCTCTCGGTTGGGTCTGATCCGGATAAATTCCTGCCTCAGGAAAGGGGCAACATCTGTGTTGCTGTTCACAAAAATTCGGACAGGATTTTTCAAGGAAACAGAAGCCAAATCTTTCACCTACCAGAACAGGTTGAGGGAAAAAAAGTCCACATAATCTCTGGTAAAAGACTAGACAAACTTCTATTAACTTTCTGCCTCAATATGCTTCTCAGCATCCTGTCTTACCTCTTCTGTCATTGTGGCAGAGAAAAGCATTGTCTGACGGTGGTTAGAGCATAACCTGATTATTTCCTTCATCTGTTCCTCAAAGTATTCATCTAGCATCCTACACAGGAGAAAAGCAGCAAGGTAAGGCAGCTTCAGCTGGTTCTAGCTAAAAAACATTACTTAAAGGCAGGGCAACAAAGACTGCCCTATAGCCTGGAAAAAGCAAAGCAGAAAACTACCATCTTATTTTTCACTGCTGTCCTGCTTAGCCTACCTGTCCGCTTCATCCAAAATCAGCACCTCAACACTGCTCAGGTGGAAAGAAGGGCAGTTGTGGAGATGATCAATCAGTCGCCCAGGAGTGGCAATAAGAATGTCTGGCCCAGAGCGCAGAGCTGCTTCCTGAGTCTTTACATCTAGGCCACCTGAAAGACAGCAAACATGCACTGCTGACTCCCTGAGCAGGTTGCAGCAGAGTACGCAGATCCAAATTGCCTATGGAATGGGAAACAACTCAGATTAATACCACATCCACATTTAGAAGTGACCCCACCTTTTCCTTGTCAGAAAGCAACAAACAAAAAGTACAGCACGGTATTGGAAAGTGAGATTTTAAACCAAAGCACACCTACAAGAAGCGTGCCTGCAATAACTGTACAGCCTCGAGCTTTCTAACACAGAATTCCCAGTTCTGTATAGCAGTTTACAGCAAGCTGTACAGTTTACGTAAGTAACTTTATACTCACCAACAGCAAGGCAAGTTGTGACACTGCTGAACTGCGCCAGCTGTTTTGTGACAGAGTGCACCTGAATACCCAATTCTCGTGTTGGCACTAGAACCAATACCCGTGTTATTGGAGCCTGACGAGGTTTATAAATCAGGCGCTCAAGGACAGGCAAGATGAAGGCAGCTGTTTTACCTAAAGAAGAAAATTAAGAAGTTATCATGAAGAATTACCAATTATTGTGAATAGTTAATTCTCCATGTTTCCTGTGCCCTGCTCAATCCCCTACCTGTCCCAGTGGCAGCACAGGCACAAATATCCTTCCCCAGAAGACCCACCGGGATACAAGCCTTCTGAATTGGTGTTGGTTGCTTGAAGCCAAGAGCTGTGATTGCCTACAAATG